AATGTTTATTTTACCACCGATGGTGGCGGGGGTGGTGGCGGCTGGAACCGAAGAACTTCGAGATGATTCGTACACAAAATTATTTAACAGCAAACGCTATTTTAAGCCTTTGGAATGCGGTCAATACATTTGGCGTCACGGTGATGATGCGACAGTCGAAAAACAACCATCGTTGCACGTAGGCGTATATCCCGTACACAGATTTACTACTACTAGTCAAGCAATAAAACCTAGCAGTTTCACCGACATTGAAGTCGTTTTTGAAGTCAACACTGAAATGGTTGTTGAATTCGGGGCACCGTATCAATTTACGCACTTCGACAAAATTCATATTCCATTCGAAGACGGTGTCATGCATCATAATTTGACTAGTACGCAACCACAGCACTTTTTCCGTGACGATTTGTCAACGATTTATAATCAATTTGTAACAATAGAATAGGATAGTAAATAATAACACAATATGTTCAATATGTAATGTTGTATTCATTTAAGAAATGATAAAAAAATAATGGAGACAGTTTTTATTATAATTTTTTAGAAAAGGTGCGCTTATCCAAGTATACACTGATAAACGGTCTCTGAACGATGGGTCATTAATTATTGATAAATAGTGATTGGTCAACAGTATTATAGGGGGGGCCTTGTAAGGGAATATCGTTTTTATATTTAACATGCACTCTGGTGGTATCCCCTCCTAATAGCTCCTTCATTTTTTCCAAATGATATACCTCGTAATTAGGTTCGTTCCATATGACGAGACGTTTGCCTGCGCCATCGGAAAAACTGAAATTATTCGTTTTGTTGGCAGTGCCGAACATTCCGTAATTTAAAAAGAAGGCGGCTACAGCATCGAAAAATAATTTTTGCCCGCGCTCGGAGGAGAATGTATTAACATGCTATTTCTTTTTGGGATTTTCTTGTCCAATATATTGACTAAAGTTTGCAAAAATTTACAAATAAGACCGTTATCATTTTCAAATTGATACATTTATAACTTGGAAGCTATTGAAACGGATTCGTCGACATTGTAATAAACGGTTCCAGGTCCCCTAGCGTACGCGTTAAAATACGGTTTTACATTAGGTTTATTATAGTATTCTACAAATTGGACAATACTCCAGTCCCGTATAATAGCGCACCAATTCCTAATCGCAACTTTACACTTTTTATCTTCTTCTAATATGTAATTTAATTTAGGGTTCAAATAAAATTCCCTAATATTTGTGAACGCATCGGGTGGACAACAGGGATAGTGGTACAACAAATTTTTCAGCGACGTTGGGTACTCGCATATCGGGTTGATACTGGAACCTCTCTCATCGTATCCGAAGACTTCATCAGCGGAAGAGTTGTTCTCATGGCCGTCTTGATATTTTGCAAATGCACCGAGTTCTCTGGGAACGTCGTTCGGCATTTCATTGCTGCATATTTCCACCATTCCTGCATGTCCCGAAGTCCTTCTAGATCTGACTTCCTAAATTTACGAAAAATCAAAATTATCCATATAATTAGAATCGTACATGTGTTCGAATATATCGTCATAAGTAGCTTGATTTAAAAACGGATAACATAATTTTACCAAATTTCTATTACGATGTGTATTTTCCCTAAAGTGTTGATATAAACAAAATTGACATTTTTCCGGGGCAATCATTTTTGTAATGCCATTGTATATTTGTAATTTTTCAGACATTTTATAAATGGGTTGATTTAAATGAATACGGAAAGGTTTAGATTCAAATGGTTCATAATAGTATTTATGATTTCTAAACAATTTAGTTTTATTTTCGTAATTGCGTACACTGGGCAAATCTCTGTTGTACAAAATGTCAACTTCTGTAGTACAAAATTTATAATTTTTATATTCAACGACGTTAAATTGATACGATGGTCCGTTTTTTTTTCCTCATGCTCGATATGAACACTTGTTTTAGATACGAATTACGAACATATTGCATATAAGTTTGTACTACATACTTGTATAAAATTGCGTCCATCACGTAATCCTCCATAGGAACCGAGGCCGTCAATTTGTTGGGGTTCCCGGCCGTCTGTAGAAAAATATCGCACGATGTTTTCTCAGTCCGACGACGTGAGGCGTATCGCCCAAACGTGTCGTCGTCCATGTTGGCGATAGAGGACGCATCGTTGCAACCATACACACCGACAAGCCGAGTTTGACTGTCGGCAGACGTGGACGCAATGGACATGGTCGCCATGGGCTGTGACGATGACTGGGAGCTTTGGTGGGTACTGTCGCAACATATCTTGTAACCCTGCAGTAACTTCATCAACTCCGTTAGGTCCACGGGGGACAATAACGTCGCTGATGTATCGATCATTTCCTCTAAAATCGATATCACGAATTCTATCGATAATTCTTCCAAGAAGGTGCTCATAATTTTGCGAGCCACGAGCAACAAGGCCCTGATTCTGTCTCTCATCGGAGTATCCTCCATATTGCATTCCTCCAGTAGCTCGTCGCGGGCCAGATTCGTAGTCATCCATTTCTTCGGGTTCATAAATGTGGAAAAATGTTCCGGGTGCCATAATGATATCAAAACTATCCAAACTGAAATGTGAAATTGCGATCCCACCTTCAGTTTGAAATCCGTCAACAGCTGTGTGACGTGAACCAGATTGTCCACACTCAAATTCTCCATCTCCATAGCAGTCCGAATTTGTAGCAGCGGAATATTGGCAAACGCTGTCGACGTCGTCTTCACCTTCTTTGTCGGAACCGCAGTAATCTGCGCTGCAGTATTCGGCGCATTCCTCTTCCTGCAAGTCTTCTCCATAGCGATTTCCGAACATGAACTGTTGTCTCCGGCAAACATACTCACAGTCAGCCAGGGTAGGTCTGTGTGGTATGTCGAGAGTAGACTGACCGTTCATTGTACTCTACGTTCTTTTATATGCATTTATACACATTGTATCGTATGCAAAAATTTTGCCAATTTGGCAATACATGCAAAAGTACAAAAATATAAAACATTCATCTTGTCATGTCTATATGCCATTTTTTTGATTTAATGATAAAATATATATATTTAACGAAGCCTCCAAATTATGACGTCATCGCGCGAAAAAACGAACTGGGTGCTTGCTAAAATTATTCTATAATTTCGACCACGACGACGACGACGACGACGACGACATACGCGGGTCCCCTCTGCTCTATACCGAATCTTTTTGCATCATGGCTTTGTGCCAAATCTTTTTGCACGCGTATATTCGTACATATTATCGGCACACAGCCCCAAAGGGGCGGCCGCAGTACAATGCGGCAAAAAGATTTGGCATTTTGAGTAGTTAAAAAGTATTACATGTCGTAATTATTCTATGTTAAAACAAAATATTATATATTTCATTTTTTTTAAATTTCATGAAATTTTCAAACACTATGCCTATGTATCGTTAATATTTTAACTATAATAAAATAACTTACATATTACATTTTTAAGGTTTTTGACCGGATAAATATAATTATGTTATAATAATTAAATGTAATTTTTTATTAACATTTATATAGAAAAAAAAATTTAACTATTCAAATGCAATCCAAGTGAAGACGGTATAACCAAACATTTAAATAAATTTTTATTTTTTTTTCTCCAATTATTTTTAAAAGCACTGAGAATTTTCAATTTCGACCCCCTAAAAGTACCAACTAGATCCAATTTGCTTCCAAAAACATACACTGCGCATCGAAGCTTATGATCAGAGCATTTTTTCTACTAGAAAGTTGAAAAGTTACAAAAATTTTAAAATACCTCAAATAAACGTCTGAAATTATTAAACTGGACAAAATAAAAATGTAAATAATTTTCAAGCCCCCCCCCCCCATTGAAAATCCTGCGGACGCCACTGTTGTCCTCAGTTCTAACCATACACAATATAATATATTAATTATTACAAGTTATGCTTAACTAATGTTTTATGAACCTTAATGTTATACACTTTATAACTTATAAAATAATTGTTCTCACAAACTCCTCATACAAACATTTAGCTGTGTCATATTGTAATATGTAGAAATATGAGTAATTAAAAATGAACAATTAAGCAACTTTTAACTTATAACCTTAAAATTTAACTATAGATTAGTCAATAGACATATTGTTACAAGTCGGTTGACCGTAGCCTCGTACTTGTAGAGTTTGTAGGTAGATTTAGTAAATAAAGTAACACACACGTTTACTATTCAATTAATAAAGTTTATTGCGTTCTGAACATATGCAGACAATGGCACTCTCCATTCTCCACTGCCGTCTTAACATCTTCACGTTCCTTATATCTAAACTTATCTAGGACAATCCCTCCTATATAAAAGTGCTTACTTGCAGTTTTCGGGATTGTGCCTGTTTACACTAATTTACAATAATCAATTTATTTCATAATTCTAAATGTTTTACAAATACTGCTACATCCTTTACTTACTTCCTATGTTTAATAATACTAAACCATAACACTCCCCTTGTTGAATGAAAGCTCATGCCCTCATGAGTTAATTTTCTTATTACATTCTTTTTTTTCCTTTTTTAAAAAAAACAAATATTTTACACATTCATAAATCATTACATAATTACATCTTAAATCTACTTAATTTCTACGCATTGTGACACGGTACGCAGCGGCAACCAGTACAAAGTACAGGTACCGCAGCGGCCGGTCTACGCTTTTGTCAACCGCCACCACGGGCTACAGCGCGACATCGCTAACTCTCCCACCACGCCACAAAGGCACAAGGCGGGACGGGAAGGCAAGTCGCGTAATACGAGTACCGGCCGCCGGCAATTCTCTCTCTCGTACGTCAACCGTCCATACGGAAACACCCACGCTACATATAACAGCGTACTTATTATTTTGTATAATAAAATAACCATTCTTGTGTACCGACAAATAAACGTCCCCCCGTGGACTTTTACGCATATTCCGGTGTTAAATTATTTGTTTGTCGTAATCTCGTGAGTGTCACCTCGATCTACCACACTCCTCACCATCACATTGCGACCGGCTCACCGCGGACGCTACCCCAACACCGCCGTAGCCGCGTCAATTGTATGTCGTCTACTGATTTTGTATTTATTAATGCTTTAATATAATTCATTGACATTTTATTTTGCTTGTATAGGCTAAAACTTATCTTACTTATTACAATTATTAACACTAATATCCCTATACCTATTCCTATTGTTACGTATGTTATATTAGACACAGTTACGTATTCTACACTATTATCTACCTGTGACTTTAATAATAAATCTAATTGTTTTGCGTTATTTGCTAATGAATGAAAATCAGGGTTGTATGAATTATTCAGTTTTGGAAAATCATCCTCTATCCTACTAGTGTGATATTGTTTCATAATCGCCGTTATGTTCACCCTTGGAATGAAATCATACGATGTTTTCGTCACTATCGATCTGGTGGGGGTTAGCTCATATTCTTTCGTTATCGCATGACACGGATACGTCAGAGAGATTGTACCTGTGTTTTTCAAGGTTTGCATCACTGGTTCTCCCCTCGCACAATCGATGTTGATCGTCGCTGGTTGCTCTGCTGTGTACAACCAAACATTCTCATTATCTAATTTGTGTATTACTAATTTTTGAATGCGTGTAACTTTTATTTCACACGCTTTTGGTATTACATCTCTATCCTGACTACTAAATAATTTCTCTTCACAATTGTCCGTTTCTTGAATATAGTGCGTCTGTGTGTTCGAACAAATATAATATTCTTGCATATGTATGCATTTGCTTAACTCTATGTCATCAATGAATATTGAGTACACATTATCCTCGGACATGGCTAAGTATTTGTTCGTTGGTTGAATTAACGCATATACTGACTTTTTCTGCTTTATAGGCAATGGTATTGACTTGTATAGGCGGTACTCTCTTGTGTCGACTATCGGAATGGCTATTATGAATATCAATGTATCTGCTACTCTTATTACTTGTAAGTTACTCATTTTCATTAACTTATGTACATTCTGTATCGTGACTTGTTCAGCAAAGTTCTCTCTCGAATCTAATTGTATTCTCACTTGTTGCAACTCTGCTAAAAAATTTGTCGCTGAAATAATGCTAGAATGCATATGACCTACTTGTGCTGTATTTACTATTGCCACTAGATTGTGAGTTTGGAATGAATGTTGTGTTAACAAAACATTTAACTCCTCAGTTTGCTCGTTCATTATCTGTCTAACTTCCATTTCATTTATCCTTTTATCGGCTCTGTTCGCTGTATTTTGCAACTTATTTATATTATTTACTATCGCTGTTTCGCTTTGTTGTATTTTCACCATTTCTTTATCCACATCATGTACTGTTGACTGTACTATCCGCGTTTGCTGTTGCATATCGTGAATGACCCTAATTCGTTTTTCGCTTATTTCGCTTATTTTCTTATCAAAAAATTCATAATCTTCGTCCGAACATATTCCAAATAACGTTTTTGATAGTCTACCAATTCCGTTTATCAATCCTCTTCTATAGCGTTCGTTTCTACTAACTGCATAGTTTATCTGTTGTCGCGTTTTCTCTATGTCATGGATATATGATGTTGTTGTTGTATTAAATTGCTCGCATAAATACGACCAAATTACCAAGTGCTCTACTGGAACTATCTCTGTGTTTTTTGCAATTTTTAAACAATGTTTTACCGTTTCCTATTGAAATTTCTTAATTTGTTCAAAATTATCATCATACGTAGTTAAATTCACATAGACTGACAATTTCCACTTCGAATTTGTTGTTTTTATTTTTGTTAAATGATTAAAAAAAATTCCTGATGGTGATTCAATTTCTTTTATCTGATAATTTCCTGTCAAATTTGTTGCCATGATAGGTTGTAAGATTGATATCCTGTAATAATAAGATATCATTGCTTTAGGTACTAATTTAAATTTTTTTTTTATATTTTATTGATTACATAGTTTTAATAGATTTCTATGTACTTTAATTAATTTTTTCCCTCTCATGATTGTTACATTTTCATTATTATTTATTTCTGCTATTGCATACGGTCCTAACCATTTTTGTGCTAATTTATTTTTTTGTTGTTTTTCCATAAGCCATACTCTGTCATTATTTTTAGCCTAAGTGGATTAACTTTATTATCATATCGACCTTTTGTATTTTCATTTGTATTTACTATCCGTTGTTTTGCAATTTCATAAGACTGTTGAAATTTTTGCTTAATCTCATAATTATAATCCTCATAATTGTACCTTGGTTCGGGTGTCTTCTTTAATGATGTTGGTATTTTCCCTGGAAATCCATAAAGTAGTTCATACGGTTGGAATTTCGTTGTTTCATGCTCTGTTGTATTATATACATGCATTGCATATGGAATGAATTCATCCCAATTCGCCAAATCTTTGTCGACATAATGTCGCAAATAATTCCCTAATGTTGAATGACTCCTCTCTAATGCTCCATTACTTTGTGGTCTATACGGTGTTGTGTTGAACTTAGAAATTTTTAATAGTTTACATACCTCTGAAAAAATTTTACTTAAAAACTCAGTTCCCTGATCAGATACTATTGATTCTGGAATTCCATGTATACAAACAAATGAGTTCACAAAACTATGCGCTACAGTATTAGCTTCATGGCATACCATAGGTGTCGCAATGCTAAATTTTGTTAAATCATCTTGCATTGTCAGTACATATTTATTCCCTTTGTGTGTAATAGGAAGTGGTCCTACTATGTCCATAAATATTTTTTGGAATGGCTTGTCTGCCGTGGAAGTAATAACCATTGGTTGCTTTGTATGCTTATTCGAAGTTTTATTCTTTTGACATGACTGACATTTTTGTACATAATCTGTTACTTCTCTTGACATTCTTGGCCAATTATACCGTTTTTTAATTTTTTTTATTG